TTTCTCTCACTCCTTCTCTCTCTCTCTCCCCTTCCCCTTCTTGTTCTCTCTCTCTCTCTCTCTCTCTCTCTCTCTCTCTCAAAAATAAAAGAAAATAAATAAAGTTTAAAATAAATAAACAATCATTATAAATAACAAACAAAAAAAAATGTCTTTCCCCTCATCTCCTGTTTTGTTCCCTCTACCCACTTCATTTCCATATTGGTATGTGAAAGTATTGCTAGCCTTAAGAAATGCTACTTTTCCCACCTCACCAAAATACTCATCAAATCAAAAAAATACCAACTCACCAAGGGTACATTTTAATTTTATTAAAGATAAGTACTGAGAAAGGTCAGGAATTTCAAGGCTAAATCAAAGAAAGAGGTATATAAGTCTACTAAAAATAAATTTTCAAAGTAAAGGAAACAAAAATACTCCCCTAATTCATCTCTGGTTACTGCAAGTTTGGCACAGATATCTTCTTCCGTGCTGAAGGTTTAAATAGCTATCACAGCATTTCATAAATTTATACTTGAATTGAAAAGCTTTTCTTGTCTCGAAAAGAAAAATAGTCACATATTACTTACGTAGTAATTACAGGCTATGCAGCTGCCCTACAAAGCTTTACTATAAATGTGTTAAGCATGAACCACTACACAAACCTTATTCAAATTGCATTAAATGTTAAGCCAAAGAAATGTCATCCTCCACACCACTTCACACAATTGCTTACACAAGAACAATGGCCATCTTCCTAGTCTGAGACTTAAATAATGTAATAGAATCAATGTTGTTGATTTAGGCTATGGTTGGTTAAAAGTCATTACTGTTATTCCTCACCAAGTAAAGAGGTCTATTTCCCCCTTATTATGCACAAGTGAAGCTTATGCTAATGCCTACAAATCTAAGAATGAATAAGCTTCTTTGAAATACCATTTAAAGATTGAGAACTCATGAAATAGTACCTCGTTTCTATCATGATAAAAATATTGACCTCAATTTCTATATTGCGCTGATCCTTACTTTAAGCCTTTCTAATGTACAATTGAAAGCTTATACAGCATTTCCATTTGCTTAATACTTTAAAAATATTAAGCTGGTCACACAAAGCACTGTAGTAGTATCATGCCAGTAATAGAAGAATAAAGAGGCCAGAAACCTATGAAAATGTTTTAAGGAAAGTTAATGGAAGTAAGATTTCTCAAAATCTCAACCTCACCTTTAGAGGTCTTTATATCATCCATTCTAAACATGTAGTATTAATAGTATTGTTTGCTTTTTGTGTATTATTTGAACTTTGAAGCAAATGAATTTGGTAAGATTGGAGAATATTATAGCAACTAAAGGTGTCAGGCTTATGACCTAACACCTAGAGAAATTTGGGAACAAATTAAACTGGGCTTGATTAAGTTTTATTTTACCTCAATTCAAAGACATAGAGCCATTAAAATGCAACACACCCTTACTACTTTCTATTTTTGAAACTTTTTTGAACTGGATCTTGTTTAATGATTAAAAATGGCAGAATCATGAGGGATGTTATATAGACATCATTAACCTCTGACATCATGTGACAAAAAAATGGCATTGCCTGTGGCTTTCTTCCTAACACCCCACAAATCCAGTCTAACCATGAGAAAACATGAAACAAATCCTAGTTTGGGGTACCTGCCAGTACCCCTTCAGGCTGTCAAGATCATAAAAACAATGAAAGACTGGGGAAATATGACAAGCAAATGCAATATTCTATAATATCCAACTAAATAAATACCCACGATTGGAGACTGGAGCAGAAGGAAGACATTAATGAGAAAACTGGTGAAATCAAAACAATGTATAAACTATAATCATTATGTATTACCATTTGTTCATTCAGAGTAACAAATGTTTCCTAGTAATGTAAAATGTTAATAATAGGGAAAACTGAATGTCAAGTATATGGGAATTCTCCATATTATTTTTGTAACTTTTCTATAAACCTGAAAATATTCCAAAAAAAAGTTTTTGTTAGTTTGTTTTTAGTGGATGAGTATATTTACTCCCAGTAACTGAAAATTAACCTTTGTGTACACTAGGCTAAATTTTACTATATAATTCATCTCTCAATCTTACATCAACATTTAAAAATTACACATTAACTGCTCTCAGCTCCATCAACTTTTCTTGCATTTTAACCTACTTCTCCACTGAGAAGACTTGAGGAACTTCACATTCACAAACTCCTGTAACAACACTCCTTTAAAACTAGATGTCTAACAGCAAAGTGACATAGAGGTAACTTTCCCTACGATACAGGCTAAAAAGTTAACCAAATTAAAATATTTACTTTTTTTATTTCTATAGATTGCAAAGAATGTCTCATTGAGTGTTAAAAATGTTTGGTCCATTTGAGACCAGTGCTGTTGATCATATGACTTCAGAAAATACAGTATCAGAGAAATAATGATAAATAAATCAAGATTTTGAAATAAATGCATAAATTCAGGAAAGTATCCACAGTGGTTGCTGGTGAAAGCAGATAAAAGGCAACCAATGTCTGTGTAAGCAAGTTTAATTTCAGTCAGTTGAATGAAACCAAATTTCTCTCTTTTTTCTTTTAGGAAAAAATTACAAAAAAGGCAGGATGTCAAATCTTATTCAGATGATTGTAGTCGGTTTGATGGCTGATGGCCACAGTTTCAGAAGGTAACACTAGGAGTAAGGCAAAACTAATCTTAAAGCTAAACTTGCTCATTATATGGGGAAACAAAAAAAAATACTTGAATGATTTATTTGGTCATAAAGGGCAAGGTCTCAGAAAAAACTAGACAGCAAAAATGTTAAGTGTATTTTTATAAAAGGATAACAAGCATGTTTGGACTTACCCATGGAAGTTGAGTGACTAGGTTAAGGAGTTTGGTGATAGGAAGATTAGATGGAAAAACAGGTCTCCATGAAGACATGGAAAGTGAGAAAGTGACAGGCAGTCCCTAAGTGAGAAATTCCCTCTGCGGATAGTGATATCCAGGACTTGCTGCATTTTCAGTGTTGTGTTGCACAAAACCTCTCCTTTACTCCAGACCTTGAAGTCAGTTAGGCTCAGCAGCCTTTGGTGAGTGAGGCTCTGGACATCACTAGGAAGGCAGACAGCATCCAGTGTGGGCTGAAGCATCATGCCAACAGAATGGTAGTTGGAGGAATTAGGATAAATAGTCAAGAGTTCACTAGGAGCAGAATAGCAGACCTAGGAGGGGCCACCTCCGGAAACTTTGATATTTGGGGGCAGTAGATGAAGTGGAGAATCAGGCATTTATGTGAAAATTCAATGAAAGAGCAATTAAAAGATTGTAGGACTTCAGTATATTAAACAGCAGATACGTGGCTTGCATATGTAAAAATCAGATGTCTGGAAATAATACACCAAGATATGCATGTCTGATGGTAAAATCAGGATTTTTTTTCCCTCCTAATTATTCAGTGGTTATCTAATGATTTTCCATCTGTATGATGTTCTTACCTTCCTCTTGGCAAGTCTGCATCATCCTTTTTCCACCGCACAGTTGGTTGAGGATCTCCCTGGACCTGACAACAAAATTCTACAGCTTCTTCCTCCAGCACCACCTGGTTAATTGGCCTCCTGAGAAATGTGGGTCGTTCTTAGGAAAAAAAAAAGGGAACAATGGTAAAATGATATCAATGCTGTGCATGTCTTAAGAACATTATCAAAAAAACCTCTATCTCAACTATATCTTGATAAGACCTTATTAATCCAATGCAATTGAATAAAATAAAATATTTTGGAACACAGAAGTAGCTACGGTTTGTATATAAGATCATATAATCTTTTGGGAATAAAATTGATTCTTCAGTGAATTCCTGAGGTATGGAAAATCCTATCACAAAAAATCTGAATAGCACATTCCACAGAAACACGGAAAGATATAAAAACGATTACTTTAATCTACCCCAATAGCTGAGTGAGAAAACTAAAAGTTGAAACTGATGGAAACTATCAAAAAGGAAACTAATATTAATGTTCCATCAAGAATGCTAGCATTAACTAACTGGAAATAAGACAAAAAACAAAAAAGAACGCTACAGTGAATACACACAAAAATTGTGCTCTCGCACATGGTGTTATTTAAATTTTCCCACTTAGGCTATCATTTCACAAAGACCCAATACTTCCACATATGTTTTCACCTCGTGTATGGAAAGCTATCAACCCGATTTAATTTTTCTTAAATATAAAAGCTGTCAATCTGATTTTTTTCTTAAACAAAAATCACCATTATTATTAATTATTGTAAACTACTGTCATACATAATTTTCTAAGGCCACTTCAATTATCTTCTCCTCAGTGTTTCACAGATTTACCCGTTTTTTCTTTACTTAACTTTTATGTTTCTTTATTTCTCTAGTGTTCAGGTTCAGTTTTCCCATCCTTTACTCCTTGTTGTTAATTTGCACCTATCACCCTTAATTTGCATTTTCCACTCCTCTACATATAGCTAGGGAAAAATAAGTCCCTGCCTATGAAAATTTTACCATTGAAGAGAAATATAAAACAAACAGTAGTTTTACAAATCTCTAAACACCTGAATTTCTTGTCTAGTTTCTTCCCTTTTTGATAATGGTCTGATACAGGACACATTACCACTTAAGATTTCATTAGCACATGTCTCCAAATCATAGGCAGTCCAATAGTTCTACTTATTGAAGTAGAAAGAGAAATCAAGGAAAAGAAAGATGAAATCCATTGGGAATTGACACAATTTGTCTGGCCATATGGTCGTATTTAGTCACTTAAGACTTTAGTTTCAAACCCAATTTAAAAATGTCAATAGTGGCATAAAAAAATTGAAACATATTTAGAAAAAAAAATCTTTAAAGAAAATCAATCACTTCAAGTAGCATATATTAAGAATATAGGATGGAAGTACATAATTTTATTGACTAAATAAGATCTAGATTTATAAAATAAATGTGTAAGTTGCAATAGACATATTTTATTGCATTAAAGTCAACAATCATTGGCATTCAGAAGGAAGACAACTCCATCTCTCCACTGTCAGGTTGACAGTAAGGATCAAAATTTTCTCTAAAACAGCAACCTGCATATTAAGCATTAAGTACCTGCACTCTGAGACCCCAAAATCCCAAGCCATAAAACAGGCAAATAGAACTTCTCACGGAGAGGTTTTTTTAATGAAGAATTTAGAAATAAAGCATAAGAACTTGAAAGGGGGAAAAAAAAAAGTTGCTCCTAATTAGATTTTAGGTAGTCAGAATCAATTAACAGTTAAGTGTTCCCCACCCCACCCCTGCCCAAAGACAGAACAAATCTTCATGTTGGATGCAGTCATTTTGTATTATTCTTTTGAACCTTGGACACTACATGTTCCCAACAACTATTTTAGCACTGGCTAGTTGATACTGAGCTACTGTTTCTGGCGGCAAATAGGCAACAGGATCAGTATAGTATCTTCATATGAGTGCTTAGAATGTTAATAGCAAAAATGAATCATTAGCCCAGAAAGCAGGATTGACTTGTTTTCTTTGCAATCACTCAGGGATGTTCATTCGATTCATCTAAAACTGAAATACCCAATATTAAAAGACAGCTAAGCCACTGTTGATGTCACTGAGATTGAGAAATGAGGAATTTCCCTGCCCCCTTTGATTTTAATGAGTGTATTGTACTACAACCTCGTATATGGACAGAAGTCATTCCCTCACCCACTCTTCCATTTAGCACATATTAACACAGCTTTTCCTAAGTCAGGCTTTGAGCTTAGTAGCTGGTGAACAGCCAGCAGCTTGGTTTCATCAGAAAAGTGGTGGGATGGGCACCTGGGTGGCTCAGTTGGTTAAGCTTCCTACTTCAGCTCAGGGCATGATCTCACAGTTAGTGAGTTCAAGCCCCGTCAGGGGCTCTGTGCTGATAGCTTAGAGCCTAGAGCCTCCTTCGGATTCTGTGTCTCCCTCTATTGCTGTTTCTCCCCTACTTGCGCTCTGTCTCTCTCTCAAAAATAAATATTGACAAAAATTTTTTTAAAAAT